CAGCTCTTTGGCTTAGGGAAATAAGGCATCTGCTAAATCAGCAGCCCCCCAATCCCCTCCATTCCACCAATCATAAGTGCTTCCAAACTTAGCTGGGCCAGTACTTAACACAGTAAACTAAGAAAATGATCTAAATGTTCAATCAAATCAATATCTTCTATGGCACAATATTCACAAAGTATAGTTAATTGAAAAAAACAAACAAAAAAATACACTCACACAGGCACACACAAAGGAAATATACTAAAGAAGAGGGTGGGACTATGGGTAATTTTTTTTTCTTCTTTGTGCTTTTCTTATTTTGCTATACTTTTTACCATAAACAAGTATTGTACTCATAGCAAAGCATGGTGGTTAAAAGGACAGACTTTGGAGTCAGACTGCCTGTTTCAAATCCTCGCTTGACCACTCCCTGCGGTGACATTAAGTAAATTACTTAATTTCTCTGTGGCTCAGTTTCCATATCTGTAAAATGAGGATAAGGATTGTACCTATCTCAAAGGGTTGTTATGGTAATTAAGGAGTTAATATGTATGAAGTGCTTGGAACACATCTAGCATATAGTAAGCCCTAAATGTTAAATGAAGAAAACATTAATTTTTAATTTAGTCAAATTTATGGTTAATTTTCTCTAGAGTGCTACTTGCCATTCTGTCGCAATCACATTTTATTATATGTGTTGCTGAATAGAGGACACATACATCCCAAAGCCAATGTTTGTCCTCAATAGTCAGGGTGGATGCTTGACATTTGGTGGGTGATGAAAATTCTTACTTGCCAGGCCACGACAAAGAGCAAGGATTTCCCAGAAATATACTATGACCACCCCCCGACACCGACCCTCAACCCCTCATTTGGTCATAGATGAATTATGGCAAGCCTTATTGTCTCCTAAACCACAGGCTATACTATCACAGTTTGATTAATGACGTTCACAGAACTGGAAGGATCCTTGACCTTTGGTAAATTAGGCCCCCTTGCCCAGGAGTGGAAATGCCTTGGTTAAACCTGTTTTCAGTGATAACGTGCTCCACTTCCTCACGTAGGCCTGGGAGGAGCAGAGGGAAATGAGAACCAGCTTTGTGGCAGACTGTCAAATAATTGGGAAATTGTTAATGACTGATAGGAAAAGATGAAGGCGGTAATGATGAGGCAGAATGAGTTCTGAAGGATCTTTTTCCATCGGTAAGAGGGTCTTCACATGAAAGCAAACCCACAGTGTTAAAAAAACTCTAATATTGTGGAAAGTGAGAAACATATACTTTGTTGTCTTGCAGACTAAAAAAACGAAATGACTGAGCTATCTTTTCATTTTGTAATAAAAAATGTTATGGTGGTGAGGTGTAAACCAAAAACTAACAGAAATAAGTAAACTGAAAAAAAAAAAAAACAGAACAGAAGGGAGGAGGGGTCTCCTACCCAGGGGAGAGAAGACAAGATAGCACTGAAAATCATATAAAATCACCACTGATACTGTTTCCTTTCAGCCAATGGAAAAATATTCTAGAAAAAGGAAACTCCAAATCTCTTGTTTACCCAGCTGTCTGTACAAAGTGAATTATTCATGATTACATGTGAATAATAAACCTATGCAAATATTTGTTGTATTCTCAATTTTGAGGAGGTTGGGGGAGCAGCAGGAAGTCATTTTAAAGTGATTCAGTTAACTATCTCCTTTAAAATTAAATCAAGAGAAAGATTTTTGATTGTTATTTATGTATGTCTCCCCCCAAAAGAAAAACACACAAGGTTGTTTTTTTCTTAGGAGGCTTATGTCCTTTGGAAACAACAATTTAAAGCTTTTCTCTTAGTATCATGACCTTTACATAATTTCCTTAGAAACTAATTGTGAAAGTTGTTTTTTTTTTTTTAATTTTACTGGCTTTAGAGGGCTAAAAAGCTTACAGCAGAGGTTATTCTATAAAGGGAAATCTTAACTGACAAGTTTCCAGGTACCTGCTGCTTACTGTAAACTCTTACCTATAAATTTCAGTTATAGGTTTTTGATAAAGGGAATATTACAATAATACTGATACCTGGCAGTTTTAAGCTGTTTATCTTTTTGGTTACAGAATTGGTTTAACAGTTTCCATCAGAACTGTTAGACTATGACTTTTAGCTAGAACTATGTTAGAGTTTATTTAGCTCATCCATTTTAAGAAGCACTTGAAATCTAAGTAATAGCAAGATATTGAAAGGTGTTTTATTATCTTGCAAACTCTGAAACTTTTCTACCTCTCTACACAGTGTATTATCACCATAATCTGTGAAAGAGTTCATACCATGCAAATGATTGCTTTATATACTATAATCATTAATAAAAACAACTTCCCTGTGAGCCTCATTATGAAGGCTGAGTTGTTTCTGACTAAAGCCCAAGTTTCAGTTAAGCATAGACTACGTTCTGATAAAGCTCGCTTTTACTCAACAATAACCCAAATGCCTGGAGGAGAGGCCAGAGAACTGGGCTAGGCTCTCCTGGTTCCTGGGATCAGGATCTCTCTAGAACCACTGATGATGAATGGGTTGGTTCTCCTAAGGGACCAACCCTCCATTCCGCCTCCAAACTATCCCAGAGCCCAGATACTGTGCCAGATTTAGAGTAGATTGTCATAACCCACTGCTTCTACCTCCTGGTTGTTAAAAACCCTAGGTGGAAAGACAGGTTCACCATCCACATTTTGCAGCTAAAGGAACAGAGGAATAGAGAACTGAGAGACTTGGCCAGAAATAAAGGCAGAACCAAGATTAAGACTACAATCCAGACTTTGACTCTAACGAATATTCCATGTTACCCTGCCCTGTACCACTGTCCTCAATCTACCTAGAAACCAATGAATTGGTAGTTTGCCAGTTGCCAGCACAATCCCTAGCACCACAATTAACCTGCTATTATCTTTTTCTTCTGCTATTATCATTTCTGTAGATTTGCACAGTGTGAAAATGGACCATACAGAGGAATAAGAGAGCAGAAAGTCATTTAATCTACTCCCCAAGCTTTAGGCAGCATTGTGTTGAAACCAACCAGATTTCCAGAATAGATCATTCTACCACCTCCTCTGGAATTCGAATGCCATCGAATGCAAGCTAAGTCCATTTTCTTTTATTCTATGTTGACTCAGGATAACTACTTTCTTATTTAACGGAAAACCCAAAACATTAAAATTGCATTTTAAGGTTAATTGGCAATGTTAGTAAGTGGCAAACTTAGGTCTCACATAGAAGGTAATAATGAATAACTTGAAATGTTTGGAAAAAGATGATCCATATTTATTAAAACTCCATCAGTGAGTAAAAAAGTGATTTCATTATTAGCATTTTCACTCTCCTGTTTCTCATAGTCAACAGTTATATTAGCAAAATTGCATTTCACTTTATGGAAACTTGTCTCCATTATGATTTAGTTCAATGGTTTCCTTCTCATACTATTTCAGCTAGGGAGTCATTTCATTATGCTGGGAAGTTTCTGAACACGTAATGTAATTAATTCCTTTAATAGGCTCCTCTTTAGGGAAGCCCCATTAGTAGACATCACTGTGAATTAACATCTTAGTCCAGGAAAAAAGGTCTTTGGAGACAACAGTGAAACAGATAAATCTTTGTTGAGAGATGTGACCAGAGGATTTAACCGCATTCCTTGTGGTTTCAGAATGACATGCATATTCTGGGACCCACAGATAGGCAGAGATAGTTGTCATTCTCAGTAAAGCCCTGACCACACCAGCTCTTTAACATAAAGAGATAGTTCTAAATGTTATAATTTCTTAGAAGAACACATCATGGGGGTGTGCACACTGAAGGCAGGGGAATAAAGTGAAACTCCGCCAACTGGCTAATGCCTATAAAGAAAGACTACTTGCTTTCTTTTAACTGACAGGTTAAAAGCACACTTGGGGGAAGAAAAAGAAAACGCTACTGGTTTTCTTTTAACTGACAAGTTAAAAACACACTTGAAGGCTTCTGGACAAGTTCCTTCTATATCAGTCTACTAAGGATTGGTCTTCCCTTTGAATCTTGATGGATAGTAGTGAAGTCTTTCTGTTGGGGTCTGAATATTTTCTTATATTATTTTTACATACGGTCTCTGGAAGCAGATTTCTCTGGGTTCAAAACTGTGGCTTTGCTATATACTAACTGTGTGACCTTCAGCAAGTGATTTAACTTCTCTGTATCTTATCCAAAATTCAGATAAAAGCAGTACCTGCTCCAACTGGTAAAGAGAATTCAATGAATGAGCATATATGTAGGTGCTTAGTGGAGTGTCTGGCCTTGAGTAAGTGCCATCGACATTGACTGATATTGTGATTAACTCTGCTGAGTTGAGGTCCGACCACAGGCATGGAGGCCTGTAACACAAAAGCTGAAAAACTCTGACAAAGCAGAGGAGTGGGTGCCTGGGCCTGGGGAGGGTAGGCTGGCTGCAAAGGGACACAAGGGAACTTCTGGGGTGACAGAAATAATCTGTTGATCATTATAGTGGTTACTCTAGTGTAAGCTAAAAAACATTTAGACAATTCTTTCCCTGATTATCCCATTTAATATACTAGTCCAGGCTCTAATCACCTTACATCTGTATTAATGCAATAGTCTTCTGGCTGATTTTTCTGTCCCTGAGCTCTTTCTTTAATTCCTCCTTGGCATGCCCATACTCACTCCCATTTCTGAGGCTACTTCAATAATCATGCCTGGAACAGTATATGAGCCATTTGTTTAAAAAGGAGGGAAAGAAATAAATGTGCATAAGCAAGTATGTTTACTTATTTATGCCTAAAATAGCTCTGGAAAGACATATGAGAAACTGGGTATGTTAGCTACCTAGGGGGAAGGGAACTGGATGGCTGAGGGACTGGGTGGGAGGGAGGTTTTTCTTGATACATCCTTTTGTTCCTTTTGAATTTTAAATCATGTGAATGTATTACCTAATCAAAAACAAATAAATAAAATGTAGGGAAAAATGAAATCTGACAAAGTTAATCTATTCATTCTAGAAATATTTTATTTTTATTTATTTGTTAGTTTTTTAGAGATGTAGCATTGCTGTGTTACCCAGGCTGGTCTCAAACTCCTGGGCTCAAGCGATCCTCCTGCCTCAGCCTCTTGAGCAGCTGGAATAACAGACACACACCACTGCACCCAGCTCATTCAACAAATATTTACTGGTTATCTATCACTTGCCAGGCACATAGCAGGGTTAGGGTGTCCACAGCCATGATTGTGTTTCATTGGCAGATCCTTCATAAACTGCACGTCACCAGCCCTGTCTGCTTGTTTAGCTTTAAAGCTTGCTTTAGGAGATAGAAAGTCCACTGGTTAATCACAGTGGCCATGGCTGGTATCTGATTTAGGAAAAAAAACAAGGTCAGGGTCAATTATGCTACAAAGGACCTCCTTCCACATACTGAAAAGACGTAAAAAGCTGTAGAAGTGGCACGGGTATCAGATGAGACCTCATAACTAATGTTTATTGAACATTAACGTTCTATGTGCCAGCTATTCTTCTAAATGCTTTTTCTGTATTAACTGATTGAGTTCTTATAATAACTCTGTGAGAAAGACACTAGTATTGCCCCCATTTCACAGATAAGGAAATCGATGTACAGAGATAGCAAGTAACTTCCTTAGAGTGACACAGCTAGCAAGCAGGATGACCAGTGTTTGAACCCAGATAATGTTGAAGTCCAGAACCCTCAATTTTAACTACTTTCCTGCCTTTTGGAAAAAGTATTGATAAAATGTTCCTTTACTCTAAAATCTCTGTTGAAATTCGACTATTTATAGAAATGTCACTGAGTTTTATAGCCGGAAGAGATTATTCAGTTAGTTCAATTCTTATCCAAATGGACAACTACTCTTGAACACTTCTAGTGATAAGGACCTCATTGCAGCCAGAAACAGTCACCATCTAACAGTTCTAATTGCTAATAAAAACAGTGAAATGTTGATTGCCTTCCACGTGCAAGGCAATTTGCTAGAGCATGGAAGAAAAATTCTTTAATATGTTGAGGCCAAATCTGCATCCTTGGGATGTCCTCCCCTTGGGTTTATGTTCTATGTTTTGGAACAACCCAGAGGTGGAAGGATTGCTTGAGCCTGGGAAGTTGAAGCTGTAATGTGGCTGATGTGTCTGTGGTTCCCTGCATTTTCTGACAGCCTTTCCCAAATTTAAAGACAGCTACAAAGTTCCCCCTTAAACTTCCTTCTTCCTTATTCAGTCTGTTCTCATACCACAATCTCCAGGTGAGATTCATTTTTCTTATTAAAAAGCTTCTGTTTTAAAATGCAAATGTGGGAGGGCAGCATATTAAGCTTTATCTGATGCTTCTCTCCCGTTGAACTATCTTGAAGGAAAGGGAGTTTCAATTTAGGGAAAGAAGTGGGGAGGGTTCTGAGAACAAAGGCAATTGGAAGCGTGGCTCAAGTGCTGGCCCTAGGCTTGGACAGGATGTTGATGTAGGAGCCCTGGGTAGGCAAAATGCAGCATATAAATCCCAAACTCCTAAGGCCAGGTGTGGGTGTCTCACACCTGTAATCCCAGCACTTTTGGTGGGCAGATAGCTTGAGCCCAGGAGTTCAAGACCAGCCTGGGCAACATGGAAAAACCCCATTTCTACCAAAAAAAAAAAAAATTAGCCTGTTGTAGCAGCACATGCCTGTAGTCCCAGCTACTTAGGAGGAAGCTGAGGTGGAAGGATTGCTTGAGCCTGGGAAATTGAAGCTGTAAGAGCCAAGATTGTTCCACTGCACTCCAGCCTGGGTGATAGAATGAAACATTGTCAAAAAAAGAAAAAGGAAAGGAAAGGAAAAGAAAAGAAAGAAAAGAGAAAAGAAGGAATCCTAAGTTCCTAGAGATGAAGTGGACATGCTAAGAGTTAAAAAGCAGCAATCATGATGAACATTTGTTGAGTAGTGACTATATGCGTGCAGGGCAGTTTACCTGGGAGGCTGAGATGGGAGGATCACTTGAGCCTGGGAGGTCAAGGCTGTAGTGAGCCATGATCAAGCCACTATACTCCAGCCTGGGTGACAGAGTGAGACCGTCTCAAAATAAAATAAAATAAAAGTGTAATGAGACTTTACTACTTAAAGCTCTGGGATAACATGATGGAATTATAACACAGGAAAAAGCCCTGAAGCTGAGTAAATCAGCCTATTACCAGAAATGCTAGCCAATCCCTTTCTCAACATCCCCTGTTGAGCAAATCTCATGTGCAACTTCCAGCCAGGTTGCAGGGAACAGTTTACGATAGCCCTTCACATAGCCATTGGTACCTGTGAGCCACCACCTACTATAAGACTGAATTTGCTCCTCCCAGAAGGTGAAAGTCTATTTGCAGAGATGTAGTGCACCCAAAGGGATATTAGGACCTCAAGTCTTGGCATTTCTAAATAGGAATTTGACTTTACCAATGGATAACCCAAGGGCCCATTAAAATTTTTTTTTTCTTTTTAACCAAGACAATGGTGTCCTCCTCCTCTATCAAAACTGGAAATTAATTTATCAAGTCTCAGCCAGGATCTTAGTACACAAATCACACAGTCACACTGAAAATATTACTTTTTTTCCCTTTAAACAAACTAAAAATGTCTAAAGAGGATACATTTGAGCATTTTCTCATTTGTATAGAATCTGGAATCATACACTGTAGCAGACCTTGACTTAACTCTTTGTTGTTGTTGTTTTTTGAGACAGAGTCATGCTCTGTCGCCAGGCACCAGGCTGGAGTGCAGCAGCACAATCTCGGCTCACTGCAATCTCCGTCTCCTGGGTTCAAGCAATTCTCCTGCCTCAGCCTCCTGAGTAGCTGGGACTACAGGCGCACACCACCATGCCCAGCTAATTTTTGTATTTTTTAGTAGAGACAGGGTTTCACCATGTTGGCCAGGATGGTCTCAATCTCTTGACCTAGTGATCTGCCGGCCTCAGCCTCCCAAAGTGCTGGGATTACAGGCGGACTTAACTCTTACAAGCATAATGTGTTCAGTTTCATTTTATTATTTGGGATCTTTTTCTAAATGATGATGATCATAACTGAGAATTTTTTTATTATAAGATCCTGTGGAAGTCCCTGAATATCCAATACTGTTGGGTTTGAAACCATAAATTGACACTTTTAAGATACATTAAAATTGGCTCTAATGGTTAGTAGAATTTTAAGAATACACACACAACTCTGAATTTATGTGAACGCAACTTTGACACTGATGAACATTTCCAGCCTCTTCCTGGCAGAGGTGAGCTGGAGAATGAAAGAACCCAGAGAGCAGAGGGACCTGCGAGAGGGGAAACGAAGGTGTGGTTTCGGTGCCTGGCTTCAAAGGCTGGAGGCAATCATGAGCCTAACCCATGTCTTTCCAGCTAGACCAAATTTCTGTAAAGACAGAAAAACCCCAAACAGCCAAGTTAAAATTTCCCCTGCGTAACTTTTTATTTAATAATGTCTTAGTTTCCAACTATCATCATCTAATCTTTCTGATCACACTGATGAACCAAGCACAGTCAGGGTGAGGGAAGGGTCTAGCACAGCTCAGGCATCCCAGCATGGGGCCTGTTTCCATTCTCTTTACTGAAGTGTCAGCTCCTTGATGCACTTATGCTTATTCATCCCAGTACAATTGAGGACCAAAATGAATAGCCTAGAGAAAAGATTTCTTTCCTTCTAATAAGTCATTCACTAGATAGAACTGAATACATTCCAATATTGATGGCTGGTTGCAAATTTGAACTCCACTGTGTAAAATCAGATAGTTCACATTTTCATGGTTCTCAGATTCTCTTGATAACAGATCTCCTTCCCCGTGTGCCCAGCCAAGGGCACAGGCCCAGAAACTTCTCTGTTGCCTTGCATACACGCTGCCTCAAAAACACACAGTCCACCTACTGGCAGTGATAAAGACTGTTCTGTTGGGGAAAGAGGTGTTAATAGAGATAATAAAATCACTATAGAAATTTTTGGCTGGGCTTGAAAGCTCATGACTGTAATCCTAGCACTTTGGGAGGCTGAGGCAGGTGGATCATGAGGTCAGGAGTTCAAGACCTGCTTGGCCAAGATGGTGAAACCCAGTCTCTACTAAAAACTACAAAAATTAGCCAAGAGCAGTGGCAGGCACCTGTAATCCAAGATACTCTGGAGGCTGAGGCAGGAGAATCGCTTGAACCCAGGAGGCAGAGGTTGCAGTGAGCCGAAATCATGCCACTGCACTCCAGCCTGGGCGACAGAGTTAAGACTCCATCTCAAGAAAAAAACAAAAAGAAATTTTCTAGACAGATTCAAATTTGAGACTTTGGCTTAAAGGATCTCTTGATAACCTTTAACTCAACCTTAGGCTAAGTTCACGACAATCACAAATACAAATTATAAGCTCAATTCCCCTTGAAGCAAAAAAGTTCCTTTTGAAATCCAGATTGACTAATTACTCAGTACTGCTAATTCACTTTGAGAGTCTTTTACAGAGTTTTTGTGAAGCTCCTCTGTGATTAAATACTTGCAGTGAAGACAAGCTCACTAACTAACGAGGTGGCCCATTTCAAAATGTTGAGAACTGACGACTGTAGAGTTAAAAAGCTCCTCCTGGGCTGGGTGTGGTGGTTCATGCCTGTAATTCTAGCACTTTGGGAGGCTGAGGTGGGTGGATTACTTGAAGTCAGGAGTTCAAGACCAGCCCAGGCAACATGGTAAAACCCCATCTTTACAAAAGATACAAAAATTAGCCAGGAGTGGTGGCACACACTTGTAGTCCCAGCTAGTCCAGAGGCTGAGGTGGGAGGATCACTTGAACCTGGGAGGTCAAGGTTGCAGTGAGCTGAGATCATGCCATTGCACTCCAGCCTGGGCAACAGAGTAAGACACCATCTCCAAAAATAAAAATAAAAAAAGCTCCTCTTTATACTGAGCCAAAATGATCTGTAGCCTTTACCAATTTGCTCTTACATCTTCTCTCTGGAGAGATACAAACCTAATTCCTCTACTAGACAGCTAATCTCTTTACGTGATTCTCTTAAAAGAAATTATAGTGATTCAGTCTACAATTCTATCAAGGATATAATAAATCCAATACCATTCCCCTCCTTTCAGGGGTAGAGCAGGCTTTCATGAGTCCACTTAATATGCTAAAAGAAGGAGAAATGCTCCTTCTCGCCAGCAGGCCCCAGTGCTACAGCCCAATTTAAGGCCCCAGTTTGGTAGGCTGCCCTATATAGTCAGGAATGGCTGAGAGTCTGGCAAGGGGCAGTGCTGAACAGGCAGGCTCCCTGGGATTTTCCTACAGAGATTCACCTTAGTCTGGGTCAGAGGTTGCTGGTTCTCCATTTTGTGTATGTGTGTGTGTGTGTGTGTGTGTGTTAGAATCTGGAAAGTTTTCCACAGTGCCTAAACACGAGGGTTGGATTTAGTAGAAATGAGGCAGGCCTAGTAATCCATATTTTAACAAGCACTCCAGGTATTGATAATCTCACTACAGTTTACGTTTGAAGAAACACTGATGTAAGCAAAGAAATTTTTCCTTTCTGTGGGAAATAAGATGAGCAAAAAAAAAAAATCTTGTATTTTTATTTTATTTAACCATAAGTCACACACTTAACATTTAACTTATTAGTCTCATCCATTTAAATTAAATTACTAAACCTCACTTCATAAGTCACTAAATCTAATGTTATATAAACAATAGAAATAACACTTTAAATCATTTATTGTTCATTTCATACTAACCATTAATTAAGTCTATCAAAATTCTTCCAGAATAAGGAAGAAACTAATAGCATCATTTGCAGGTTACACACTGATAAACTGAAGTGATTGTTGGGAAATATTTAATATAGGTCTTAAGAAGAATGCCAGGCTCCTGAATTGCAGCATGTTCCCTGTTTTGGATCATCTAACAGAACAGGGCCTGAGGCCAGAGTTGAGGGAAAGCACATTTTGGTCCCACAATTAGCTGATCAACCTTGTGACTGAGGTTAACACATAAATCACACCTGGATAAGCACCTCCACACACATCCTATGCAACTCTGTGGGAATATTTAATACAGCTAGAGAAGGATTCCAGTACACAGGTTACAACAAGTTAAAACATTTCAGAGGAGTCCAAATACCTGAAGAGTTTAATTATGAAAAAAAAAAAAAAAAATCCTTCTTTTCTTTGAGAAAACAGCTTCTTTCCAAAATAACTACTGTGGTTCTTTTACAAATATAATATAAAAGGTGCCTCATCTCTAACCCAGCTTTGAAGTCATGCTATCTCAAGGCAGCTCTATTGACCTTGTTTCCTTGTGGCAAAGCGAGCAAAAAACTTAGAAAAAGGTTTTGGAAACAGGAATTTACTTTCCTGCTAAGACAATTTATGCATGTTTTTACAAAATAAACTTATTTTAAAATAAATGTAGAAAGAATTATCTAGCTCTCATTTTCTGTTAGGGATGAAGACCTTCTCTGGTTCACTGACCTTCCTCTTCTTCCTGGAGCACTCAGAACTTTGCTGACTGCACACAACATTCATTTGTTGAATCTGTGAGAATCACCAGAGAGAGGCACAATTCAGCAGAGATTTTGACATCTGCACAACACATATATTAGACAGGTAGACCAAGCATTAATCCCTCAAGCTGCATAACGGATCCAAACCTGCTTTCCTGTGGGCTGGTTTGGCCCTGCACAGAGGCCTTGCTGCCAGTATCAGAGTCTGGTATTCCAAATTTCAGGAGCTAAGGTTGCCTTGGAGGCAGCCAGTTTCTGGGACAGTTTCTTGGCTCCCTCCAGTGAATTCAACACATCCAGTTCTTGAGAGAAGGCTTGTCAAGGTGTGGGGCCAACAAGGAGCAATTAAGGTTGAGAGAGATCTGGGACACTGATTGCTTTAGAGGCAAATGTAATTTAAGTCCCAGTTTCAGGTAGTAGAGACATACTGCCTTGTCTTTTCTATGGTATGTTCAGATTAATGAGTTAAGAAGAACCATAATCTTTCTACTGAGGAGTATGTTTTTGGTGAAAGGGAAGTTGGTTAGTAAATCATTATAGATATATATTTTGCCATTGAGTTTGGCTTTGCTAAAGATTTTATAACTTATTTTTGCTTAACTGAGTGAACAATTAGATATAATCTGCCAAACAATCCCTAATGCCTGGAATTCCAAGAAACACAGAGAGGACACTTATATATTTTCCAGCCACTAGATGGGAGGAAAGGTTTTTCCATGTCCTATGTTTTTTCTTTGGAAGGAAAATGGAATAAGATATATATATGTTTTAAAGCAAGACTTGTGAGAATATATAGTAGAGGTTCCAAAATTATCCTTTTTGTCTTTTCTAGGCGAGGCATGTTATTATTTAATTGATATGTTATAATAAAATAGTGGAAGTGCCAATAAAACATTTAAGTACCATTATAAACAAAGATTGGGTGTCAAATCTTTGTCAAATGGCTAATTTAAGCACTAATTCATCCTTTAGTTTTAGAAAGCAGTTGAATTTCTGATCTCAGAAACCACAAATTCCCTTTGGCTTATACTAAGACAGAAGCTATATAAAACTCTGGGAAAATAAATAGAGCAGCCTATCAAATAACTCGTTTGCTTATACATGTAAAAATTTGAAATGGCCTGTTCTAAAGGAAAGGAAATAGCAACCTAAAAACTTAAAGCACAAAAACGAAGTTGTTATCTAGGATATGCATTTGTTATGGTTTTACTCTAGGAAAAGTATCTGGTAAAAGTTAACTTGTCTAGAAATGTTGCTTGGGCACGCTTTCCATTTAAACCAAACTATCCTCACTTCTATCAAATCTAGGTACACATGAAAGAAGAGGAGTGTACAAATTCTCAAATGATCAGTTGACCTGATGGTTTAATAGTTTTGTCCTCTTTTTCTTCCATTGTTCAAATAAATCAAAGTTTAACTACAAGTTGCAGAACTGTAATTTTATTGCAGTGAGTCAAAATATCTTCAATAATGAAGGTATTTTCAGTATCTTCAATATCTCAAGGTAATCGTGAAGCCTGGGAACTCTCAATAGTTTATAGAATATTAGTGGGATGAAAAATAAGTATGTTATCCGTCAGGGGATACTTAGCATAGACAAATAATCTATACAAACTACATAAACCAACAAATTTATCCACAGAAAGGAATATTTGAGAAACATTTTTCAGGTGTATTCCAACTGGCTGAGTCTGTATACTTGGCACCAAAGCCAACAGCCAAGCAAAGGGCAAGTAATCAGGCAGGCTAGAAAGATTATCTGGATGATCTGAACAACATCAGATGATCATCAAGTGACTTCTAATACATTTCATATTATATTTTAAACATACACCTTTTGAAGTATTTCTTTTTTCTTTTTTTTTAATTATTAAGTGTTTCTTGATGCAGACTAACAAGAGGCTGCTATGATCTGTTTACCAATAAAGCCTCAGGAGTAGAATATCCACATATGTATCTGAAAAAAGCCCAGAAAATATGCTTTCTGTATATGATGTTGCCCTATTTTCCATCCTTGGTTTAGTAACATATTCTCCATTCGAGAAGCCAAAAAGCAGGCTTTGCCTTAGGCACAAATAGGATAGCCAGCTGATTTGGTAGCAGTATTTGGGAAGCTCTAGAAGGGATTCCTTCTTCTAAATCATCACTTATTCCTTTATTCACTCCCTTAAAAAATGCTTGTTACTTGAATGTTCTCCCAGAGTTCTGTCTTTGGCTGTCTTTCTCCTTATTCTCCACACCTTCCCTGAGTGATCTCATCCATTTCTAGGAATTAATTACCATTCATAAGCAAAGACCCCACATTTATGTTTACAGCCTAGATCTTCCTTCTGAACTTCAGATCCATGTGTGTATCCAACTGCCAACTAAAAATCTTCACATAGGTATTCCAGAGAAAACTCAAGTGCAGTCTGCCCAAACTGGAATTCATCCTCTGCTTCTCTAAGCCTGTTCCCAATCATCGTTCTCACCCACCCAAGGTGTCCAAGTTAAAAAGCAGAGAATTATCCATGACTACTCCATCATTCTCTTGCTAGCATCTAATTAACCACTAATTCCTTTTGGTCCTACCTCCTTACCGGCTCTCAAATCCATCCATTGTCATCTATTCCCATTAACTTCTTTAGTGCAGGCAAACATCATCTCTCCCAATCACTCCTACTCCCACTGTGACTGCTTCTCTAATCCATTCTCTACTCTGGAGCACAGTCTTATATGCAGATATGACCACATCACTCTTCGGCTTCATCAATCATCCATTAATAACTTCCCATGGACCTCAGAATAAAGTCCAGGTGCTTTATGGCTGTGGCCTATTTCTGCAGCTTCATCTTCCCCCACACTTAACCACTTGCAGTTCTAATGGGCCCTGCTTGCCCCACTCTGGACTTTGCCTTTAATGCCCACTCCTATGCTTTGTTCCTCCCTTCTTCATTTGGTCCAGGGGCAGCTCCAGAGTTTCTTCTGCCTGCTGGGCTTCCCTGACACCCCAGGGCTGTGTTCTGCTCTTACCCCTTTGTAGCATTTACTATGTAGTATTATCAGGCCTACTTACTAGTCTTCCCATCCAGAGTATAAACTCCTTGAAGTTAGTGCCATTTTTTTTTCTTTTTGAGATGGAGTCTCACTTTGCCACCCAGACTGGAGTACAGTGGCACAATCTCAGCTCAATACAATCTCCATCTCTCAGGTTCAAGCAATTCTTGTGCCTCAGCCTCCCAAGTAGCTGGGATTACAGGCACCTATGACCATGCCCAGCTACTTTTTGTATTTTTAGTAGGGACAGCGTTTTACCATATTGGCCAGGTTGGTCTCAAACTCCTGATCTTAGGAGATCTACATGCCTCAGCCTCCCAAAGTGCTGGGATTACAGGCATGAGCCACCATGCCCCGCCCCAATATTTTAATCATCTTTGTATTCTCAGTTCCTGGCATCTGGTAATTGCTCTTTAATTATTGGCTGAATGAATGAACAAATAAATTAAACTGATTTTAAGCCAGGCCATGAGCAAGGCACTAAAATCATATCTCTAGTAATACAAAGATCAACGAGACATAGTTGGTTTCCTAGAATTGAGCCTTGTAAAGGAGACACATTAAGTATACAATTACAATATAAAGCAATACAATGTAATGCCAAAATAGACAGTCAGCAATTCATTCAGCAGTTATTTATTGAGTGTCAGCTATATGCATGGCACTCTTTTAGGTGTTTTGGACAAATCAGTGAACAAAAGAGATAAAAATTCCTGCCGCATGGATTTTACAATCTGGCTGTGTTACTTTTTGGCTTCATACTTTCCAATGGCATCCATTGCCTTTAGGGAAAGTCCAAAAATGGCCTTTCATGGCCCAGATATGGTTCTTTACATTTTCAGGAGAGGGAAAGTATCACAGACCCTGATGAAAGCTATGTACTCTCTCCTCAGAAAAATGCTCACACCTCCACTCACTCATCTATTTTGGCAGGCTGTTTGAAGCATTACTAGAACTCTTGAGTACTTCCCAGTTAGAGTTATGACTCCTCAGGCCCTGGCTGTGCCTAGCCTCATACCTTGCTTCTCATACCTTGGTTCCTCTTAATTCTGAACCTTGGTACATGATATTTCTTCTGCCTAAAATGTTCTTTCCCCTCCACTGCCCCTCCCTTTTTGCCTAGTTGATTACTGCTCATTCTTTCAGATCTCAGATAAAAAATTATTTCCTCAGAGAAACTCTCTCCATCACAAATAAGTTAGGTCTCCCAATCACAGAACTGTATAGAGTTCTAGGAGATTAGGAACATGCATGTCTTGGTTACATTTGTATCACTAACATCTACCAAGTGCCTTAACATAGTAAAGGTTCAATACTTTTTGATGAATAGATTTTCAAAGAGCACTCTGCCTGAAGTGTAGAAATGCATTGGAGACATCAAGCAGATACAGGTGATGAGTCTGCTATAGTGGTAGACAGGTGATAACTTGCGTGGCTGTAGAGATGGAGAGAAGTAAAAATTGAGAGATACATTTGGGAGATAGAGTCAGAAGGACGGCCAATTGGATACCATGGTAAGAGAGAGATAGATGGGTCACTAATAACTACCCAGTTTCTACTTTAGCTAACTGCATGGATAGAGGTGCTGTTCTCTCAGGTTGAGAACAATGGGAGCTTTGAACCTACTGAGTTTGGAGTGACTGCAAAACCTCCACGTGGAAAAGTTGAATTGGTGGCTATATGGGGAAGTCTGAAGTTCAAGAAAGAGGTCTGGGTTAGAGATGTAAATTTGAAAGTCATAAGCATATGGAGGGTAATTAATGCCATGGGTGTGTAAAAGTTTGTTTATTGAAAGACCAGAGCGTGGAAAGGGAAAGAGATCAGGACATAGCCTAAGGAACTCCAACATTTAGAGATAAGTTAGAGGATGAGCCAACAAAGGAGACTGAGAAAGAGACAAAAGGAGACAAGCAGACTGTCATGTTGAGAAAGCCAGGGGGTTTTAAGAAGAAGAAGAGGAGAAATTAAAAGGGGGTGGTCAATAGTGTCAAGTGT